ATAGCTGGATGTACTCTGATTCTAGGGATTAACCCAAGGTGAAAATTTAAAGTCCTTTCTGTAGTTTTCTGAGCATGTCTTGCCTTGGCTTGCATGTGGCTTTCTAACTTTTTCGCGTGTATGTGACTGCTTTTGAATTCCTTAATTTCTCAAATAATCTCACCCCAGCTTCTTTGGGCCTTAGGTGGTCTATTTTATGTCTCCATCTATAATTTCTTACTTTGTGTGTCTGTGGGTTTATATTTTGTTTTGTAGCTTTTATGAGTAGTGCCTGTCATTTTCCCACCTGCATTCCCAGTTATGCAAAACAGAAGACTAGCACCTTGCATCTTCAGTTATCCCCCAGATAAGTAAGAACAGATGTACATTATAATTTGCAAACAAAGGTTGCTCTGATTCCACTGGCTTGAGGGGAGAACTGGGAACTGGGCTTTCTGCTTACTCAAGACTGATTGTTACTGCGCCAAAGAGGAGGTAGATGAAGGCTAAGAAAAAATGCCACAAAACTTTTTTATTGTTTTCCTATTGTTGGCCTTTTATTGATTGATTGCTTCGTTGCTGTAAACCTTTGACTGTATTCAGAGCTCCTACAAAGTTGCTTCAGATAACTCTGGTCATTTTTTCAGTGTTTCTGTGGGGGAACAAGAGCTTGTAACTTCCTAGTTTTCCATTTTGCCTATGTCACTCCCTGTTTATGACTTTTTAATTTGTTATATAGTTTTTATTCCTGTTTGTTGTATTTGGTTCTTTTTAATCATGCTTGACCTTTTTTTTCTTTTTAAATCTCATGTTTCTTGTTAATATTGTTTCATGCAACATATTAAACATACTTAATTTTAAATTGTTTCTGATAATTACAGTATCTGCAGTCTGTGGGTCCGATTATGCTGCCCATTATTTCTGCTGCCTCCCATTCCTAGTGCTCATTCCCTTGTTTATTTTGTGTATTTTTTTTCAGATTGAGAATTTGTGTTCTTTGGATCTGTTATCAGTGGAGTTCTTTGAAGTCTTTGTTGGTGATATATTTCTCCAGAGAAGTTTTGTCTGGCTCCATCCATCCCTGGGGATGCACTACTAATGAAGGGCTCTTTGCGTTAAAATTTCTTGGCCTCATTTGTAACCTTCTTGGTTACAAATTCTTAGGAGATCCCCCTCCCCCGCTTCTCCACTTCTATCCAGTGGTGGATAGATTAAATCAGGCATGTTTACTTTCTGGCCTCTTCTTCACAGTGGGGTTACGTTTCATTCATCCTAATCTCCAGGGCGCAGCCCTTTGTGCAGGCCTGTCTTTCCTCTAGTCTTTGTACTCCATGTTCAGAATAGGAGGCTTAATAGGTCACCAGGGTTCATGAGAGCTCCTCAGGGTGAAAGTTAGCTAAAGGACTCATTAGCTTCTTTGGACTTCCAGATTAATTTTGATTTTTGACTCAGTGAGATTCCATATTTTCATATCCTTTAGTTAAGTGAGGTATTTTAAATTTATCCAGCTCTTTAAGTTTTTATTAGGATAATTGTTCAGGATATGTGGTCTGCCATACTTCTAGAAATGGAATTCAAGTACCTCATTTGATGGGTGCATTTTCTACTTCTTCTTACTCCTGAGGACTACCTCAAGGCAGGATTGCGGGGCCAGAGGAGTAGAGCTTACCAATGGCAGGAACTACATGTTCTCTTGTCCTCTGTGTTTGCAGAACTTAGACCAGGACCCACTGCAGAGGGTGTGACAGCCGCTGTAACTGCCTGACCAAGGGAGCTAGAGAATGAACCTCAGGGACAAGGTGAGAAATTGAGTAGTTGGGGAGAGGAAGGTGAAAATAGCACCAGGAGGGAAAAACATTCATCATCTTTTCTGGAGGTCTAAGGGGGCTAAATGATACGCTGAAGCCAAAGAGATTCCCTGATGTGTGCAGAACTCTTAGAATTGGCTGCAAAGGGCCAGATGAAGTCACAATTTGCTGAGCATAGTTTATTTTTATGAGTTTGTGGGTAGATCACTCAGTGAACTTGCCTGGCAGTGGTTCATTGGAGTGGCTGGGTTTGAAACCTCCCTGGGAGAGCACAGGAAGTCTATGGATTGGCCCTTTGGTGAGGGCTCTGGCCACACACTGTTGAGGTTGTATTTGCAGGTTATTAGGACAACTAGTTGATGCTGGAGTCATTTAGGCCACATTGTGTGTGCAGGGTACCAGGAAACTCCTAACTCTCTTCTTTCCTGATCACCTTGTGCTTCCCCTTTGTCTCTGTGTCTTAAGATTTGGGAGCTGTTGGTTGGCGTAGAGAGCAGTCCACTGAGCATCCATTCCCCTGGTGGATGGAGGAGAAGAGGCTAGAGGTATTAGTGTTCCTACTATGGGAGAAAAGGGACTTGAGGAGCTACCTTACTGAGAGTATTTTTACACTCAAGGCCTTGGTCTCTGTAGTCAAGTCTTAAGGATGGGGGCAAGTGGCCCTTGGGTGATGCCTGCCTGGAAGGGGCTTAGCTGGGGGATAGAAGAGCAGACAGAGAGAGACCTGGAGACCTTAAGACAGTACCCAACACTTGAGTACTCAGTAGATATCACTTGCTAAAAAAGCTTCTAATATCTTTACTCCAAAATATTTCAAACAGAATATTTCAAACAAAATATACAGAAAAATGTACCCAACTTGTATATCTCACCTCTCAGATATGAAAAATGTTAACACATTTTGCCATATTTGATTCAGATTGTTACGAAAGAAATAATGGCTAGTTGACCTCCCCCTATCCCATTCCATCTTGTCCTACCCTGGTCCAGTTTCCCTCCCTCATCTGTGGTTACTCCTTCTGGAAAGAGCTAGTATGTATCTTTCCAGCCCTGGCTTTATACTCCCATACTGCTTGCACAGTATCCATAAACAACACATGGAATTGCTTGTGGATATTTTAAGTTATGTAAGTGTAGTTCTACGTTTCCTCTCTGCAACTTTGTTTCATTGTTTTGTTTCATTGTGTTGTTTTCGAGATCTGTAGCCTATAGTTTGTTGTTTTTAAGTCCTATGTAATACAGTTGTATTCATTTCTCACTTGGTAATCTTTCTGGTTTTCTGATGTTTTGCTATTATGAACAGTGCTGCAGCAGACTTCCTCATGCATGTCTTCTCGTGAGCGTTTCTTTGGGCTGTGTAGCCAGAAGACGGATGTCTGGGTTGATGTATTTGCTCGTATTGAGTTTGCTGGGTTCCAGATTGCTCATAGCCCTTGGTATTGGCAGACATGCATTTCCATAAATCTAATGGGCATGAGATGGCTGGTTACTGTGATTTTAATTTGCATTTTTTTGATTTCTCTTCAAATGTTCATTGACCATTTAGGTTTCCATTTGTGTGGAAACCAATTCCCCTTTCACATCTTTTGCATGTTTTTTTCATTGTGGTGTTTGTCTTTTTCTCATTGTTTTGTATGAATTCTTCATATATTCTGGGTACTGGTTCTTTGCCGGTTCTATGCATGGTGAATATCTTCTGACAGGCTGTGGCTTTGGCTTTTGTTTTTGGTGCTTTGTTATATAGATATTACATTAGCTATCTATTGCTGCATGACAAATTACCCCATAACTCAGAAGCTTAAAACGACATTTATTATCTCAGTTCCAGTGTGTCAGGGATCCAAGTATGGCCTGGCTCAGTTCCTGCAGCACAGTGTTTCTCGTGAGGTGTGAGTCAAGCTGTCGTTGAGTCTGTGGTCTCATCTGAAGGCTCACTGCGGGAGTACTCCTCAGGGTTTGATTTGCTGTGTGTTGTTGAACTGAGGGCATCAGTTCCTTCTGGCCATTGGTGGGCGAACTCACTCAGTTCTTCGCTCCATGGACCTTCTTCCCTAGGACAGCTCAGAGCATGGTCGTAGGCTTCCCTCTGAATGAATGAAAGAAAGATGAAGAAAGAAAAAGCAAGGTAGAAGCCCAGGTCTTTTTGTAGCCTAGTCTTAGAAGAGACATTCCATTACTTTGTCCACATTCTGTTTGTTAGGTCTATCCTGTTCAAGGCGAGAGGATTACACAAGGGTATGAATACCAGAAGGATGGAATCTTAGAGACTACCTACTACAGATTTGTTGGAACTTTGAGGAAATTAAACTTATTCATTTGCCTTTAAGTTTTTTGCATTTTCTTTAAGAAAGGCTTCCTTATTCTCTGGTTATTAATATACTTTAAAAGTTTTGCTTTTTCACAATTAGTTTTTAATATATTTAGAAGTGCACTATGCTATCTAGTAATACAGTAACCACATGTGACTATTTAAATTAAACTTACATAAAATTAAAAATTCAGTTTCTCAGTCACCCTAGCCATACTTCAAGTGGTCAGTAGCCACATGTGGCTTGTGGCTGCCATATTGGACAACACTGAAACAGAACATTTTCATCATCACAGAAAGTTCTGTTGGCAGCACCGATCTAGAATGTAATTGGCAAGCAGGGGTGATTTTGCCCCCCAGGGACAGTTGGCAATGTCTGGAGACATTTTTGGTTTCACAACTAGGAGGACAGGGTGTTCAACTGGCATCTAGTAGGTGGAAGCTAGTATGCTATTAAACATCCCATAATGCTCAGACCCTCCCGCCAGCAAAGAGTCATCTAGCCCCAAATGTCAATAGTTCTGACAGTAAGAAACCTTGCTTTAGAATGTATTTTGGTGTGAGTTGTGAGATGTGGGCACTTATTCTTTTTTCCTCTGACTAACTAGTAGACCAAACACCCATAAGGTAATGAACCTTAAGCTGGAGATGTTTTTCCCTTAAACAGTAGAGAAGATCCTATTGCCTTTTTTTTTTTTTTCTAATCCTGTTTCTATTCTTTTACTGGTTACCCTATAGTTGATCAAAGTTCATCAAATCTTTTTTTTTTCATTTCAGCATATTATGGGGGTACAAATGTTTAGGTTACGTATATTGTCCTTGCCCCCTCTACCCCCCGCATCAGAGCTTCATGCCTATTGCCTTTTTTATATGATTTTTAAAAATCAACTTCGATTGTCTTACAGATTCTTGGACTCTGTGAGTAGAGACAGCCTTGTCTTCCTAGTGCATCATGGCTTCAACTTCAAGGTAGGAGTGTCGTTTGACGAAATGCTTTATGGAAGTATTTGCTCCCTTATGTTTTTGAAAGGCCAAGTCCATGACATTTTTAGCCCTTAGTCCTGCTGGCTTCACTAAACAGTTGGTGTCTAGGAAGCATAACGGAGGAAAGGAGAGAAGAGAGATGGGAGGAGAACGGAGAAGAGATGGGGCAGACAGGGAGTTGTGTGTGGTATGGGTGTGGTCATGTAGCACAAGTGTCTATACCTAACATATTAATAAAAACATGATTTCACTTTCTTCATCTTTCAAGATGAAGACACCAGATGGTTGCCCCTGGGGTACCAGAGTCCCCTGCAGGCTTCCCTTTGCCCAGAATTTGGATAGTCCCATGCAGAAGTTGTTTGAGGGTCTCAGGGTGAGCAGAAGCTCAAGCACTAAGGCTGGCAGGGCCCCTGGCAGGCCTAGGTCTGGCCCTGTGAGGAGGATGAAGCTAGGGCAGGGAAGGGGTGCAGATAGCTGCTGTCCCCCAAGAATCTGTCTCAGTCCAAGACTCATAGGAAGGGTTTTGGGTGTCCTCTCCCTTCAAGCTGGTCTCTCCTCGTGACCCATGCACAGTTCAGATGTGTGAATACCCTATGTCCCCGAAGGTCAGCGTGCAGGCTGGTGGAGTCAGTGTCCAGGAAGTGAGGTTGGGGTGAATCTCTAATGCAACCTGAACTCCAAAGTCCATGGGCAAGTGTGCACTGAAGTAGCCTCTGTAGTAAATTTTTCTTTCTTTCTTTTGGGTAGAGAGTCTTTATATGAAGGTTGGGGCCTGGAGAAGGGCATGGGACAGCAAACAGGGGCTTCTGTGCCCAATCTCCATTCTCCTAGCCAGAGTGATGTGTTTACAGCCTAGATATGGCTCCTCACTGCCCTGTTCTATCATCCCCGGGGCTTCTTATGATAGCTGAACACCACTGGAAGTCTTGGCCAGGGCCACTGGAGTCCTGTGGGGCCTGCTTCCTACCACCGCTCTCTGCTGTCTGTCCTCACTCCACCTTCAGCCTCACTGGCTTCCTTGTTCTGCAGACGCTGAGTGCCTTCAGGCAAAAAGAACTGCACCTGCAGTTCTTTCTCTCCACTTGGGACATCCTGTCTCCAGCTGTCTGCAGGGCTCACTCTCACCTCCTCAGGCCCCCACCCTGTCTTCCTCAGCCTTCCCTCACCATCCTGTCTAGAATAGCATCCCTAGCTGTACTCCTTTGTTGCATGTTTAGTCCCTTATCCAAATTGGTACTCATCGCTACCTGACACTAGCCTGCATAGCTACTTGTTTGTTGATCTGTTGTCTGTCTCCTCTAATTAGAACTATAGTGCTGTGCAGGTTGAGAGTGGAGTCTGCCCACCGCCAGCCCCTGGGCGGTGCCTGCTCACCACTGGTGCTCATTAAATACAAGCACACACGGTTCCTGACTTAGCATGGTTTGACTTACGCACGAAAGTGCTACACATTCAGTAGAAGCTGTACTTTGAGTGCCCACACAGCCGTTCTGTTTTTCACTTTCAGTACAGTATTCAGTAAATTACATAAGATATTCAATGCTTTATTATAAAATAGGCTTTGTGTTAGGTGATTTTGCTCAACTGTATGCTAATGTAAGTATTCTGAGCACATTTTAGGTAGGCTAGGCTAAGCTATGATGTTGGGTAGGTTAGGTGTATTAAGTGCATTTTTTGGCTTAACGATATTTTCAACTTACAATGGGCTTATTGGAATGTAACCCCATTGTAAGTTGAAGAGCATCTGTACCTCTCACCATCCATTTGGTTCCTATGTCCACTGGGTGAGAGTTAGAATGGTAGAAATTTCCATGGTTTTCAAATCTACTTGGCTTCTGAATTGCAGTTTGCATGCAGTAAGATATCCACAAGGGAGCCATCTGAAAATGCTAATCTGCTAAGTTCTTGAATTCAGGTAGCGGGATTTCAAATAGGAAGAGTTTGAGAATTTGGGAAGTGAGGGAAACTTCTGTTTGTCAAATAAATAAGAGTAAAGGAAGAGATAAGTAAGACAAGTGTGATAGCAGAGCTGCTGGGGCCACTGAGTCTGAGGGCGTGGCAGTGGGTGTCACTCCCACTGACCAGGGCTTCCCACTGCAGTCACTGTTACCTGGGGTGATGACAGCAGCACCTGGATTCATCACCTGAAGGGATCCTCTATTTAAAACATGTTATTTAAGAAGGAAAGGAATTAGGTAATGGCTCCTCAGACTGCTTCCCATCAGTAAATACTCTGCACTTAAAAGTGTAATCTGTGTTTATCTGGAAAATTCACTCACTTGGTGTTGTGTCTGGTGGTGCCAGATATGTGAGGCTGTTCAAACAAAGGTGCTTTTGGTGGTAGCATCGCCCTCTCCTGCTGGAGCGTTGGCTCTCTGGTGTGGCTTCCTTCTGACCCTGTTTCCGGTTGTTGCAGAGATCTTGCTGCCGGGAGGGATCCCCACCCAAAGATGAAGCCTGCAAAGCTGCTTGAGGTTCTGAATGCTCTCGAGGAGGAGTCGTCTAGCAATGGCAGAGAGGAGATTTTCATCGCACCGCCTGATAATGCCTCAGGGGAATTCACTGATGAGGACTCAGGTGAAGAAGATGGTCAGCGAGGTGCTCACCTGCCTGGCAGTGTGCTGCATGCTTCAGTCCTGTCTGAGGAGTCTGGCACCGAGGAGGATAATGACGACTTGGAGCTGCAGCCGGCCAAGAAGAGGCTAAAGACCAAGAAGAGGCTAAAGACCGTAGTAAAACCTCAGCGCGTTTGGACCAAAAGAGATATTCAACCGGATTTTGGCAGTTGGACAGCATCAGATCCTCATATGGAGGACCTCAAAAGCCAGGAACTAAGTCCTGTGGGCCTCTTTGAGTTATTTTTTGATGAAGGAACAATTAATTTCATTGTTAGTGAAACCAATCGTTACGCTTGGCAGAAAAATGTCAACTTGAGTCTCACAGCCCAGGAATTGAAGTGTGTTTTGGGCATTTTGATTTTAAGTGGGTACATCTCCTATCCAAGGAGGAGAATGTTTTGGGAAACCTCTCCTGACTCACATCACCATCTTGTGGCTGATGCAATTAGAAGGGACAGATTTGAATTAATCTTCTCATATCTACATTTTGCAGATAACAACAAACTTGATGAAAGTGATAGATTTGCCAAGGTCAGGCCTCTCATAGTTCGGATGAACTGCAATTTCCAGAAGCATGCACCCTTGGAAGAGTTCTACAGCTTTGGCGAATCCATGTGTGAGTACTTTGGGCACCGGGGCTCCAAGCAGCTACATGCAGGAAAGCCCGCGCGGCTTGGCTATAAGATCTGGTGTGGGACCACCAGCAGGGGCTATTTGGTGTGGTTTGAGCCCTCACAGGGCACACTGTTCACCAAGCCAGACAGGAGCTTGGATCTGGGAGGCAGTATGGTAATAAAATTTGTGGACGCGCTTCAGGAGCGTGGTTTCCTGCCATACCACATATTTTTTGATAAGGTTTTTACCAGTGTCAAACTGATGTCCATTTTGAGGAAAAAGGGGGTGAAGGCCACAGGAACTGTTCGTGAGTATAGGACTGAGCGATGTCCCCTCAAAGATCCCAAGGAACTGAAAAAAATGAAGAGGGGTTCATTTGATTATAAAGTTGATGAGAGCGAAGAGATCATTGTGTGCCGCTGGCATGATAGCAGTATGGTCAACATCTGCTCCAATGCTGTGGGCATAGAGCCCGTGAGGCTGACCAGCCGTCAGTCAGGAGCAGCTAAAACGCGGACCCAGGTCCATCAGCCATCACTGGTGAAACTGTATCAGGAGAAGGTGAGGGGTGTTGGCCGGATGGACCAGAATATTGCCAAGTACAAGGTGAAGATCCGAGGCATGAAGTGGTACTCGAGCTTCATTGGCTATGTTATTGATGCAGCCCTGAACAATGCCTGGCAGCTGCACAGGATCTGCTGCCAAGATGCCCAGGTGGACCTCCTTGCCTTTCGGAGGTATGTTGCCTGTGTGTATCTGGAGAGCAACGCTGACACTTCCTCACAAGGGAGGCGAAGCAGGCGGCTGGAAACTGAGAGCCGCTTTGATATGATTGGGCACTGGATCATCCACCAGGACAAGAGGACCCGATGTGCCCTCTGCCACTCACAGACCAACACCCGGTGCGAGAAGTGCCAGAAGGGTGTCCACGCCAAGTGCTTCAGGGAGTACCATATCCGATGACGTCATGAGGCGTGCTTGTTTGCTTTTATAATGGAATATTTACAGCTAATTACATATAGCGTTGGAGCACTTTTGTTTTATTTGTGTTGGAAAAAAGACCTTAATTTCTGATGAGTTGGTTTTATGTTTTCTCCCTACTCGCATTGTAGTTATCTTTTTTATGGTGTTCTGCCTACATGTAATCGAAATCAATATTTACATTAGTAATCTTAAATATTATTACGTTTGTAATAATATCCTTGGTGAATAAAGATCTCACAAACACATAGATGGCAAGAGAAAAATGTGCAATGTTTTATAAAAGGACAAATAATGAAAAATGAAAAATTAACAATGAATATATGTAAGAGACTGAGGTGGCAATAAAATGCAAAGAAAAGCAATTAGATACCTTTTTTTCATCAAATGAATTTGTTATTTATAGATAATTACTTGTAGTGTGGGTTTGGAAAGGTGGCTGACTCATGCAGTACCTGAGGGAGTGTAAGTCAGTACAGTGTATCTGATGGTGATCTATTAAGTTATGTCCAAAATCTTTAAAATTGTTCATACTCCTGGAATAAAGCAATGTTCAGTCCATAGTGCTATAAATAAATAAAAGGGGGAGAAGAACAGATTCTTCTTATTATAGAATCCTGCTTAATAAATGTAGAAGGAAAGATGGAAATAAAACACCACTATTTGACAAACACCAGCTGCGTAATTTTGCAGGCAAGAACTATCAGTAGATGCTACACTTAGTAGGCTAAACATCTCCTAACTAGATATCTATAGTTACAAATGGAAAAAACAGTACCTCCTCAGTGGAGAAATCAGGCAGACACCACCTCAACAAGCACTTCAAGTTAACACCAGCTGTGATGAGACAGTGACATGGTGGGTCTCTCCCCCAGCACTCTCCCCCCCCTTGAGTGTGATGTCTATGTTATTCCTGCCCAGAATGCAAAACCTGAATTCCAAATCATGAGGAAACATGACACAAACACAAATTGAGGAACATTTCACTAAACAGTTGGCTAATTTGAAAGTGTCAAGGCCATGAAAGATAATGAAAGTGTGGAACTGGCCAAGATTGGGTGAGACCAAGGAATTATGAAAAAAATGTGTGATACTGGCCTCAGATCCACAAAACAGATTTCAAGAAATAACATTAGTGGGACAACTGATGAAATTTGAATAAGGTCTATAGATTAGTTAATAGTATCTTATAAATATTATTTTTCTAACTTGGATAATTATACTGTGATTATGCAAGATGTTTACATCTGGGAAAGATGGGTAAAGGGAACTATTGTATTATTGTAACCTTTTTGTAATTTTGAAATAATTTCAAAATGAACATTAGAAAAATGTTCATACATGCAATGCACTATTTCTGTCTTTAGAAATCTAGCCTGGACACTTTCAGATATTAGTTGTAACAAGTTTGTTGAGCAAATTCTATTTAATTTTCTTCTCCTGCATCATGGTAATCAGGAATGTTATCAGATACTTGCCAGGTATTTTTACCTTACTAATGGTCCAAATGAATGACTTCAAATGGTTGTGAAAAGTCTGTGTAGACCCTAGAAGCTACTGAATGGCCAATTGTGACTCCTTTCTTAAGACCTAAAGGAAATATCACCACTGACAGATGAATAGTCTCAGGTTGTAATAGATGTAGAAGCATGTACATTCTTTCCCAGGGAGCTACTGAAGTCTAAAGTAATATTTAGTAGAAAATTGTGTGGACAATATCAAGCATCACAGCTGGCTATGAAGGACAGATAACATTCTTTGACGTGCGTATGTGTTTAGACAAGGTCTCACTCTATTGCCCAGGCTGAAGTGTAGTGGTTGATCATAGCTCACTCTTAACCTCAAATTCCTGGGCCCAAGTGATCCTCCTGCCTCAGCAGCCTAAGTAGCTGGGACTACAGGCACATACCACTATGCCTGGCTAATTTTATTTTTTATTTTTGGCAGAGATGAGGTTTTATTATGTTGCCCAACTAGTCTTGAACTCCTGGCCTCAAGCAATCCTCCCACCTCAGGCTTTCAAAGGGTTGGGACTGCAGGTGTGAGCCACCACACCTGGCCTGTTGACATATTCTGAAAGGCAGACTTGAAGGCACAAAAGGAAACTGGGAGATCATCACCTTTCAGTTGACCAGATTGTCTACCTTGTCTGCTGTAGTATAGTAAAACCATTGATGATCTTTTAACTCAGAAAATAAATTGTCCTGGCTATTCTGGATGAGAGATTTCAATTATCTTTCTCGGTGCTAATAAATTAGGCACAATTGAAAAAGTATATACTGATAGCAGACTGGAAGCCTGGACAAATTGAGGCTCTTGAAGAAAATGACTCTGTTCATAAGATTTCATTAAGCTTGCTGGACAACTATGTTTTTTTTTTTAATTGTGGTAAAAAATGTAAATTTACCATCTTAACTATTTTAAATATACAGTTTAGTGGTGTTAAGTATATTCACATCATAGTGCAACAGATCCCTAGAATTTTTTCATCTTTTAAAACAGAAACGATTCCAATAACTTGCCATTTCCCCTCCAGCCACTGGCAGCCACCATTCTGCTTTCTGCTTCCATTAGTTTGACTCCTTTAGATGTCTCATATAAAGTGTTATCATACAGTATTTTTCTGACTGGCTTATTTCACTTAGCATAATGACCTCAGAGTTCATCCATGTTGTAACATATGAGATGATTTTTTTAAAAGGCCTAAATATAGTCCATTGTATGTTTATAACACATTTTCCTTGCCTATTTATCCATTGATGGACACTTGTGTTGCTTCCACCTCTTGGCTATTGTAATAATGCTGCAGTGAGCATGTGTGCAAATATCTCTTTGTGATCCCGCTTTCAATTCTTTGGGATATATATCCAGCTGTGGGATTACTGGATCATATAGTTATTATATTTTAAATTTTTTTGTGGAACCTCCATACCGTTTTCCCTAGTAGCTGTGCCATTTTACATTCCCATCAGCAATGCACAAAGGCCCCAGTTTCTCCACATCCTCACCAGCACTTGTTACTTTACATTTTTTAGATACTGGTCATCTTAGTGGGTATCAAGGGATATCTCATTGTGGTTTTGATTCACATTTTCCTGATGATTAGTGATGTTGAGCATCTTTTCCATAAGCTTCTTGGCCATTTGTATATCTTTTTTTAGAGAAATATCTATTCAGTTCTTTATTCATTATTTCATCAGGCTATTTGTTACTGAGTTGTAGAAATCCTTTATATTATACATTCTACTGCTGACCCCTTTCCAGATAGATGATTTGAAATTTTTTTTTTTTGCGACAGGGCCTCACTCTGTTGCCCACACTAGAGTGCAGTGGCATCATCATAGCTCACTGCAACCTTAAACTCCTGGGCTCAAGCAATCCTTCTACCTCAGTTTCTCCAGTAGCTTGGACTACAGGCACACGTCACCATGCCTGGCTAATTTTTCTATTGTTTGTAGAAATGGGGTCTTGCTCTTTCTAAGACTGGTCTTGAACTCCTGGCATCAAGCAGTCCTCCCACCTTGGCCTCCCAGAGTGCTAGGATTATATGCATGAGCCACAACCCAGCTTGATTTGCAAATATTTTTTCTCATTCTGTAGGTTGCCTTTGTCTTTTTTTTTTTTTTTTGATGCATGGAAGTTTTTAAGTAGTCCAATTTGTCTATTTTTGCTTTTGTTACCTGTGCTTTTGGTGTCATATTTAAAAACACATTGCCAAATCCAAGATCACGAAGATTTTCTCCTGTATTCTTTTAGTAGTTTGATAGTTTTGAGTCTTACATGTAGGTCTTTCATTTGGAGTTAATTTTTATATATGGTGTAAGGTAAGGTCCAACTTCATCCTTTTGCATGTGTATATAGAGTTTTGCTAGCACCATTTGTTGAAGAGACTCCTTACCTCATTGCGTGATCTTGGCACACCTGTAGAATAGGGCTTATTTTTGGGCTTTCTTTGCTGTTCCATTGGTCTCTATGTTTGTGTTTATGCCAATACCACACTGTTTTGGTTACTATAGCTTTGTAATATTTTTTGAAATTGGGGCATGCGAGGCCTCCAGCCTTGTTCTTTTTCAAGATTGTTTTAGCTATTCAGGGGTACCTTAATATTATATATGAATGTTATATTTTTCTATTTCAGCAAAAAATGCCATTGGAATTTTGGTACAGTTTTCATTGAATCTGTAAATTGCTTCACGTAGTATGGACATGTCTTCCAATCCATGAACACAGAGTGACTTTCTATTTATTTATGTCTTCTTTCAGTAATGTTTCATAAGTATCACTGTATAAGTCTTTTGCCTGCTTGGTTAAGTTTATTTCTAAGTGTTTTATTCTTTTGATGCTGTTGTAAATGGGATTTTTAAAAATTTTGGTTTTGGATGGTTTATTGTTAGTATATAGAAACACAGCTGATTATTGTGTGTTAATTTTGTATCCTCCACTTCACAGGATTTATTAGTTTTATTTCCTTTTTTTCTTTCTCTCTCCCCTTCCCCCTCCCCCTCTCCTCCTCCCCCTCCTTCTCCCTCCCTCTCCCTCCTTCCTCCTCTCCCTCCTTCCCCCTCCTCCTTTCCCTCTTCCCCTTTCTCTTTCCATCCCTCTCTCTCCCTCTCCCCTTTTCCCTCTCTCTCCCTCTCTCCTTCTCCCCTTCTCCCTCTCCCCCTTCTCTTCCCTCTCCCTCTCCCTCTCCCCCTCTTTCTCTCCCTCTCCCCTCTCCCTCTCTCCCTCCCTAAGATCTTTTTTTCTTTTCTAATGTAAGCATTTGCTGTTATAAACTTTCCTTTTCATACTGCTTTCACTGTATCCCATTGTGTTTTAGTATGTTGTGTTATTTTCATTTGTCTCAATTTATTTTTTGATTTCCTTTGTTATTTCTTCTTTCACTCATTGGTTATTTAAGAGTGTATTGTTTAGTTTCCAACACATTTGTGTATTTTCCCATTGTTTTTCTGCTGTTGATTTGTAGTTTCATTCTATTATGATTGAAAAGATACTTGTGTGATTTTGATCTTCTTAAAAATTCTTTGTTAAGACTTGTTTTTTGGCCTAACATGTGTTCTATCCTGGATAATATTCAATGTGTGCTTGAGAAGAATGTTTATTCTGCTGTTATTGAGTGGAGTGCTCTGTATATGTCTGTTGGGTCCAATTGGTCTATGGTGATTTTCAAATCCTTCAATTTCT